AACTCACACATATATACATATGCACACACAACACTCACACAATCCCTTAGGACCAGTTCTATGTATTCTAGCATTTACTCACCCTATTTTTTGCCACTTTACCTGGAAGTCATGTTCAGGCCAATGTACGCATTGTGAACTTTATAGTAGCACTCGCTGCATACATTGCTCTGCACTGTATGTTTACGATAATGCCCACATAATGCTTTTGCTGAGAGAAAATGTCAGCGCTATCCACATGAATAATGCAATGAATGCACACATTACCATAAAACCAGTTTAGTCAAAATCAATAATTTTCTAAGGCACAGAAAATAAAACACATAAATTGAGGCCTTCTACGTTAAACTGGTTCGGTGTGTGTCAATGTGAAATGTAAGGGAATTTTATGGCATTTAAATGTGAGTCAGCCATTTTGCTTGCTACTGAAACCATAAACAATTGGCTTAGGCCATTTGCATAATCTAATGGGGGACAATGTGAGATGCGTGCTAGTACCTATATCTGAAATAAATACACACTAAGCTATGTGCCAGCCTTACAGAGCCTATTCCCACATCTGTGTGCAGCAGAGCCTGCTGCTGTCGCGTAATGTGTTCTGTGGCGCTACAGTAAAGACGGCGGTTCATGTGACAGTGTTAGCATGCAGTATAAAAGCCATATAAAATCCTCTAGCGTGGACAACAGGAGAACAGGCATGTGGAACAATCCTGCAAAGATATAATACCACTCCATCACACCACTAGTGTCACGCTATCAGCACTGTGCCAGTCTGCTAAGCTATGCAATAGCAGACCTCTGCCAGAACATTAGCACAAGCTAGCTAATCAACTCTGCCACCTCCTCACAACCTCACATTACAGCAGCTCTGAGACAGAATGGCTCTGATTACCCCAGTGGCTACAGCAAATCTTCATTTGCACTCTCTCTCAGAAAGAAGGGAGCAAAGAGCCCGCTTTTTTTCCCCCGACACATTTATCAGTGTTAGGAGAAGAAATCCATTCATGTGCCTTATCAGATTAAGAAGCTAATCAGAGAATCGGAGAGGCTAACTGAGGTAACGCAGGCAGGGACAGAAAGGGGTGTGTTTCTCAGATGATAAAGCCCCAGTGATAAATGCTCCGACATGAATTACAAGGCTCTGAGTGGCAGCTCTGACATTTATCAAGGACAAACACTTTGTCTGTCATGGATAAATACTACAAGCAGCCTATTTGTGAACTCACTGCACCTCACACATAGCTGGTTTACTGCTGGCTTGCAGACTTGAAGATTGCAGATTTGCATGCAGTTTCAATGTACTGATCTGAGCTCCTGCTCACTTTCACCCTCATAGGTCCCCTATGGTGCCTTGAAATGGCTCTTCTTTTTGTTTCTCATTCGTGGCTCAAAGAAACAAGCAAAGAAATCTAATTAAAAGTGTGACTTGCAATTCAATAATACATTGTGTAACTGAAATGGGAGATGCTTTATAATGATTACAATTTTAAAGTTATTGTTGTGTGTTGCAGAACAGTACAGTATTGTACAGTCTTGTTTTGCAAAACAAAAAACAGTCTCTGTATTTTTTTCATGTTTTCCTAAATGGAAGAAAAAAGTATGTCCATATATTTGCTCATATTAAAAAAATGTGCAATGTAAATGATGATGTAAAATGTAGGTGCTAAATATATTTCCCTGTACCATTCTTGAATATTTGAACATATGCTAATATATGCACATTTGTATATGAAATATATGTAATAGTGTCCATTTTTAATATTTACATGTATGTCAAATGTATATGGAAGTATATTTCCTTTGCATATTTCTTGATACAGAAACTAATATAAAATTAAATGATAATGCAATTCATTATGTAACTATAATTAATTATGCAATTATGTACAGTGATGTGCAAAAGTTAGAGACCACTCCTCATTTATTTAATTTCAAAACAGCTATTAAGTTTAAATAATCCATTTTCAGGGGTTATTTCTGAGGAGATTAGGCATAAGAAAGTTAAAAAAAAAAGATTATTTAAAAAAAAAAAAAGAAAATGGGATTTTAACAATGCAAGACCTGGCAGACCACCAAAACTGTCATCATCAGATAAACAGTGCTTAAAGCTTTCATCTTTGAGAGAGATTAAGCTCTCTTGCTTCAGATCTGAAAAAAACCCACAGGTGCTTTTCACAGTGGAAGGATGGACAGAAACACCTATGAGTCAGAAAAGATGTATAGCTGTCAAGAAGCTGTTATTGAGAAAATTACACAACAAAGAAGAAACTCTGCAAATCAAAGAAGTCGTCTTCTCAGAATAATGGAATGGCCAACCCAGAGTGCAGTGTGTTTGGGATTACTTGCATTGTGAGAAGCAGAAAATACAACCAGCTTATAAGACCGAACTTTGGAGGTGTTGAAAAATATACATTTCTTTGAAAAACTGAAAGCATGTCTCCTGAAAAGAATGGAAGCTGTAATAAAGGCAGACAGTGGACGCACTGAATACTGAAAAATGTACTATTATATTTATTTGTTAAGGCTTGTGTAATGTTCTGTTCTGAACATGTTTTCTCCCTTTGTGGCTGTTTCGACCGGAAATGAAATAAAAGAAGGGTGGTCTCTGGCTTTTGCACATGGTCAAAAAACAGTAATAACTCTAAACAGTAATAAACTTCTAAATGTCAGCCTAGAATTGAGTAGCAAACAGCTTAGTAGTCTGAAATAGGATTGTAAACCTTAAAAGCGATAACATGCTGCTTATATAACTGTCTACCAACCACACAAAAGACTTTAGGCCCTATAATATGCACAACACTCTCTCTGTTACAATTTGTAACCAATTGATAAACAAGCTTTGTAGATCATCATCTCTGACGCCATGGCTATGAGAGAGTCCATGTCTGAATGAGTTTCTCCATCTCCGTCTAAAGCCCTGAGCTACTGAGGAGATGATTCAGAGCCATGTCAGCCATCTCTCCAGTCTCTCTCTCATCCCTGAGCCTCGACTAATGTGACACCAGCCTCGGCACTCGGCTCCCTCAGGTCAGACCAGGCCAGAGCAACAGGGTTCTTCTACGTTATCTGCCCGATAAGAGTGGATCAAAGGCTTCTGTGAAGATTTCATTAAGACCTTCTGGATCCCTTCGAGTTCAACCTCATTTAGCTGATTGAAAATGGGCACTAACCTGTTCCACAGCTGTTTAGCTCACGCGGTGAGGAACACGGCAGCAGGGCCCAGTGCCGTGGCAGAACACACACGCACGCCCATGATACACACCAGCACATCTGTCACAGCCATCTCACTGAGAGCAGAATCTAATTCGAGCGCGCTGGCTGCTACCCTCAAGCAGAGGATATACACGTCCTACCTAAATGTCAAACGCCGGTGGAGGAGACAGCACTTCCGGAGGCTCAGGAGGACCATCTCAGTATAATGAGGGGAGAGAGGAGACAATCAAGGAATGGCAGCAGCAGCAGCCCTAGTCCGCGCTAACACGCTAACGCTGCCCATAATGACTAACGCTAAGAGAAAATGGTACGACAAGTGTCAGTTCAGCCGAAGGGACGGGACAGCTTCGGGTCAGGAGAGTGGCAAATGAAAGGTCAGGGAATATGTAGCTGCAGGAGGTTTCGGGCTATTATTGGGAAATAGGACACAACAAGAGTGGAACTGCCACCTCTGGAAGCCACAGACCTTGATGAGGCTTTGAGGGGGAGAAAAACGGCAAAACACAACACAGTGAAGATGGACAGAAGGGCCTTCTTTTAATTTCTAGTATATTTAAGCTTTGTTTACTGCAGGCAATTGATGAAAAAACAAACTAATCACTATTTTAACATCAGGCCACTGGAACACAGCACATACTGCACAGCACTGACTGTATAATTAAAACTCATTTTTGCGTTAAAAAAAAGCATAATTCTGCCAATTTTTCAAAATTTCTACATAATTCAAGGTTGAGATAAAACAATGACTATATAAACATAGTCATAGTCAGAGTGGTTTAATGTAAATTGTGCATTGTAGAGAAACTTATCTACTCAGATTTCTTTACAGTGGTGGTGATAGGAACCAGGTGTCATAATGTCTACAATGCAAATATAGCTATTTTATTTACTATCTCAAACAATAAGTGACCCTACATGTGTCCTCTGAATGTTAATAATGGTGAAATCATGATAAACCTGAACAAACACACTTTCTTTGCATACTATTTTGTCTTACAACACCCTTCATGTATCTCTCCACCATGATTGAAATTAGTGTGTGCAGGGGAGCTATATAATTTGTATGAAAATCATCTGTCACCAAGTATTAATATAACTGAACTTCATTCTGCTCCAACCTCAATTCTTCCTACTTACAACATATTCCAAAAGCAGTAATTCGACATTCATTTTCTTGTCTACCAAATCTTAAGCAATGCCTTCTTAGCCCTCAACAGTTTGTCAGTATTCTCAAGACAGGATAATCTTGATCCTCGGACTTGTTTGGGTTTCTGTGATGTCTGGAGCTGATCTATTAATCTAGCGCAGGAGTTTTTGTTTGCAGCTGGAGGTTTTCAAAAGAGCCCCAAATCCTCAAAGCCTCTCTCTCATTACTCAGATATTTCTCCCCTGGCGCTTCTGCTTTTATATGCCCTGTTTTTGTCATATCCTCTCTGCTGATGATTCATACATCTATCTTTACTTTCTCCTTAAATTGCTCTAGCTGCTTCCTCCCTTCTCCTCCTTATTATGTCATTTATTTTTTGTTGAGTTTGTTTTCTTTATATTTTCCACCTTTTTTTATGGGTTTGAGTTTGGTGACCTTGAAATTATTACCTTGAATTTATTTGGTTTTATGAGTTAACTGTATAATTCAACCCATAAATAAAAATAAATGGTGGACACCTTTTTGGCTCCTTCATATTTAGAGTTTTGGTGATTTGATTGCCTTGATTGACTTCTAAACTATCATCCTCATCCTCCTGTCTGCAATAAAGTGGATGGAAATTCAAAACAACATTACTCACCTGGGTGAGATATCGCAGCCTTGCTGCATGAAGGCCCCCAGGGAGAACCACAGGCTGTTAAAGATGCCAAACTCGTTGGTGTGTTCAGGCTGCTTCTCCTGTTTCTCCTGCAGGCTCTGGCCGTGCTGGCCCTGGGACTGCGACTGGCTGGGCTCTGGAGATGGCGTTCGGTTCTGGCTCTGCTGCTCCGCCCCCTCTTCTGTGTCCTCACTGTGCCATTCATACGGACTGAAGCGACTGACCAGAAACAGAACCACACTCACGCCGATGTAGGCAAACACTATACACATCCAGATCTCGTAGGCCAGTGGGTCCAGGAAGGAGAAGACCCCGGGCTTGGACTTGGTGGGCTTTTTGATCATAATAGAAATGCCCAGGCTCATGAACGGCTTAGAGAAGTCAATGACCTCTTCTCGGACCAGGGTGATGGTGAGAGGAGCCACGGCCACGTCCGCTTTCTGCTCAACAAACAAACAATGATCAACAACAGATGCAGCGCAAACTGAAACTATCCAACGCATTCATTTTTGAATATTCTGTCAAATACTATTTCAAATAATCAAAATATCCTTCAAGGACATGGATAAAAATTAAAGACATGCTTCCATAAATGACAACAAAAATATTATTATTATTATTATTAGCACTAATTGCTTTTAATATCACTGCATAAATTCAATTTATTTATTTTTCTTTTTATGTGTGCTTAATTTACTTACTTTATGGAAAAAAAATTAAAAATCACTGATAAACAATTGTATTCAATTCCAGTTGCGGTAAAAGTACTGATTATTTAAATAATGTTGCTGTTTTCAGATATTTTAATTAGGGATCAATCTATACCATTTTTTTAGACTGAGTACAAGTATGAGTACATATATGTTTAGTACTCGCCAGAGTGATACCATACTGGGTACTCTACTTAGAATTAAGAATCTGTTAGTGTAAATGAGTGCAATGTATTTTAATTTGAGTAGCACTGCAGTGGGAAAGGGCAGCTTTTGCTCCATATCAGAAAAGTGCTTCAGTACACCTGTAGTTTTGCTCCTCATCTGTGTCTTTCAACATCAGTCTCTGTAGCACCGTGACAGCAGGAATCACATCCGAGGCTACAGCATTTGAGAAGCTCAAGTGTGGAGTTTTATGCCTTTTCAGAGTCTTTTGTTTCGCTGGTTGCGCTGTAGCTGAATGTCCTCTAAATTTTAGAAATCTTGCTCTGACTTGGACTGTAAGTTTGAATAGTCCATCATGTATGGACAAAGCCTACAATTTTATACTCACACCGTAGGAAAACGCTCCGCCCATGCTAAGTGCCTATGTGAAAATCAGCATATCATTGCTGTCCAAAGAAAAAATAGTATCTCCAAAATGGTTACAGAAGAGGGCAAAAATGCCCATAACATTTAATGTGAGTTCATGTAAAGGGATTTTATCCTAATTAATTTTGAGGCATTTCTATTGGTCTAATCATCATGAAATTTTCACACAATGTAAAGGAGGACTGCCATATTCAAACGACATAGAAAAATAAAAATTGACAAAAATGGAAATACATGTTTTTCTTTGGATAGCAACCATATATGGACTTTCACTCTTAAAAATGATGGTTCTTCAAGAGTTCGTTAGTAAAGAAAATGGTTCTGTAAAGAACTATGAACACTCAAAGAACCCCTTGCATGATTAAAGGGTTCTCAATTTCAGACTGATGGAGAATGTGCTGTGGATGGTTCTATATGGAACATTTTTGAATAGGGTTCTACATAGGTCCAAAAAGGGTTTTTCTCTTGTTACAGGCTTGACATCATTACAGTAGAAAAACCCTTTTCCTACTATTGTTCTTTTGGAAAATGAAAGAAATCAGAGTAAGAGTATACATGTGCTGAAAAACCTGATTACGCAGAAAAAATCCAGGTCTCTTTATCAAATTTCTAGTACTCTGATAATGGCCTTAATCCGATCTAAGAAGTCAGAGTATGCTGTTTACGTGACCACTTGAACTATCAAATAACTGCCGAAATACAATAATGATCATATTACTGGTGAGCATGTAAATGCACTCAGTGACCCCTCTAAGGGGACAAGTGGACCCAAACTATGCCATCAAAATGCTCCACCCCCCACAGCATAACACAGCCATCATAACCCCCAGTTGTAGAGGTCAAACATTCAGGGCTCTACCGTTCTCTTGGTGTACGCCACACTTGCACTCACCCACTTGTGGAGTGCATGGCAAAGGATAACTCATTTCACTGTATAATTCCCATATCTCTGTAGTCCAGTGCTGATGGTTTTTGCACCAGTGAGCGCAAGTCTCTTAGATCTTTTCCTACTGCCATCCTGATCCAAAATCAAGGTCAGCTGGGCCTGCTCAGCATTTTTATACCAGCATGGTAGAATGTTAATTGTTTAACTGTATCATGTAGTGCACCTGTCAAGAAGCATTTGCACTTGTTGGGTTTTTCCTCTTATTCATTCGGGTGTTTCCATTAACTGTCTGTATATCTTTACCATGTCTGTGTGTGGGTCCCCACACACAGCTCCTCACTCTCATAACTACATAACTTACATCACAATAAATTACAGTAAGTGACAGATGTTCGTAGTACTGAATAATTCACAACAGATACTGAGTATTTAATAATAAGCCTGCAGTTTAAAGGGTTAAACTCTAATCTCTAGAGAAAGCATATCTTTGTTCATCTGAAGAGACATCACTGTGATCTCAGAACACCTAAAATCCATTCTGGTTGCTCAGTGCTTGAGAAGACATGCTAACCACAAGAGTGCTAACCGCATACCAGTGAGGGTTCAGCACTTGCTTTCTTGCAGCATGTCAGAATTCCGAATCAAACAATGTCAGTTTGAGAGAGAAAACTGTTATATACAGACACTGCCTAATTCAGTACTGTATCCCCCATCTGAACAACTGCATGCCACTTCACATTAAGAATGACTCCAGTGTCTGTCAGTGTTACCAGTAGCCTTTTCCCTAAGAGTCTGGGTGGACAGGCACTGCTGCCCAGCCTGAATAATAATGGCATTCTTTTAAGTAATATTAGGACTACTTATTTGAAGGAAACTATAATTCGCACGGCAGAACCTGACAGGAATTTGAGGTGTAGTGACAATAATTTTCATGATACGATATATTTTGTATTTATTGCACTATAATACGATAAGCATATTTTACATTAATTAGCATTTTATTTTAAATAATGCATTTAAATACATATCACGTAAATGTCTTGGTTGTTTTTCTGACTTCTACAGACACTTTTGGGAATCTCTTGACTGTTTTATCAAATTTCTTGACATCATTTCAATGTCAAGTATTTCTGATGTCACAAATATTTTATACCCATTTTCTATTCATGGCATGTATTTTTTCACACGTATTGTCTCGCAAATAGTGTCTCATATCATACATATTGTCTTGCTCTTAAATCAGACAAAAAGATGGATGTTCATATGCATATTATGCCATCCCTAAACAGGATACAGTCCTGGTATCACAACCATGACAGACGGATTATACCACAGAGACAGAATCTTCCAGCTCTGCAAGTGACAGCTGTACACTGTACTAGAAACTGAACATCTGTGAAGGCCAGCCTGGAACACCTTTTTAAAGGCTCAAATCATTCTCATTCCAGTAGCTGCCCATCATTAATCAAGCCAACAGCTATACAAAACAATAGCGTGCCATTGTTGAAGAACCTATTGGTGACTAAAATGCACTGAGACAGTCCAGGGTTAAGCCTCTGGACGAGTGCCTAGAGAGGCACAAACCTTTGTCAAGTTGTTGGCTTTAAGGCTTGGACACAGTGCAGTCTGCTCCTAGCCTTTCTGTGGCACACTTCGCCAGCACATTGTTATCCTTTTCAGAAGGGATTTGTGTCAATGTAACAAAGTGCTGGGAATGAGGAAAATACTCCCTCCAGGCGATGCAAAGGGGTATATGTGAATTAAAAGTATAGAACACGTGTGTGGCTACTAACCTAAAAGGATTCATGGAAAAGTCCAGCCCGTTGCCCAATTTGCACAATACTGAACTGCTCGTATAGCTTATATTGTTTGCTTTTATTCTGAGAATTTCTTTTTTTTTCATAACAAACTGAGTCACAGGGTGCCTCAAGTTACTGTACTATAAAAACAAGAAAATCATTCAAGTTTGCCTATATCAGAAAAAGGACTCAAACTTAATTTACAAAAATGTCATTACATACTACACATATTTATTTCTAACAGCATATACCAATGCTAATCAGAAGTAGACTTCTACCTACCCCATGCATCAGAAATGTGAATATATGTGTAAAACACATAGCATGTTTGCATCTACTAACTTAAGATTTTGGAAAAGATGGCAGACTTTTTCTGTCCAGTTTATACAGTGCTCAACCTGTCATACTAATGTTATTTTTTTTATTTTATTCTAAGGCTGGTTTTCTATGGTGAAACACTTATGCAACTAGTTGCAAGGTTGCAAGAAACAAAATTTCCATGAAACTTGATGCAATTTAAAAATAAACTATCAAAAATAAATCCATCCAACACATTTCATTATTCCACTAGTTAGGTAGATTAGTAGCTACTATTTTTCGTATAGCATATTGTCCTTGCTATATAAAAATATCAGTGATGTATTTAGCCCACATCTGTATCTTTGAATCATTTTTATGTCAAGGAGGGAGAAAATTAATAACCTGGTTACATAGATCACAATACAGCAGGCTAGCAAGCTGTCATGTTTAGCCAGCTAAGTAAGCTAACTGATTACCAGTAGACCATCCTCTGTTTTATCCTCTTGTCCACAATGTGCCGACTAAAATCAACTAGCTGAAATAATGTCATTGGACATGATCACATGGTACATTATTTGTGTTTTTACTGACTGTTCAAGGAAACTTCAGACTGTTGCACCTGTTGCAGGTGAATTGCTTAGTCAATTGCAGGAGGCTTTACATTATGCAACACAAGTGAAATTTAGTTTCATGTAAGTTTCAAGCAACTTACATAAAGTCACAGTGTGCCTACAATAACTTCATGCACACTTCAGTCAATCAAGACAATCATTGAAGTTTGCCGTTAGACTCCAACATTAATTTCACTACAATTACGTTTTTTGTAACCACATATAATAAAAATATTAAGACTGTCACCTACCCCATATACCAGTTCTCCAACCATGCCGTTCCACATTTTGGTCTCAGGGTCTCGGGTTCCGTACTTGCCATCTCCTACGAGCTCCAGTCTGTAGGAGTAGCCCACGTGCTTGGCTATCTCAGCAGCCAGCTCCACACAGTAGCCCTCATACTTATCGTTCCCTACAAACTGCTCATGATTCTTCTTCAGCATAACGTATGGAGATTCCTGAAGGTGGGGAATGTAGTAGAGAAAAATCAGTTCTCTGCATAACATTTTCACAACAGGTACAACCTCAATCTCATCCATGTCAGATAATGGGCTTTTATTGATTAAAACTGTCTTTGATGGTCTGTACTCTGTAAGTTTTATCTAAGATAATAACAATATTAATAACAAGCATCTGCTAGGCGTTTTCATTTCTCATAATAGTTAAACATAGTGTTTTTATTAGCCTACATTGCTAACGTTTGTAAGTCTATATCACTGAACATTTTTATCTGATACCAAGAAAAGGTAATAAATCTGCTCCAGTGTAGCTGGAATAACAGCATTTTGTATTTACTTAGCATAATTAACTGTTGGTTAAGGCTGCTATAACTATGCTAGCTTATCGACTGTTTTCCATGCTATGCTAAAGTTCTAGCCTCAAGGTTCTCAAGAACATAAAATACATAAAAAGGCATGGTAATTTGTCATGGCAAATCTAATTAAGCTTGGGAATCCATAATTTGATATTACTTAAAATATTAATTGACTATTTGTTGATTTTGAAGAAAGTGTAATTTAATTTAAAATAAATTGATTTGTTTATTAAATAAATTAATCTTGATCCCAAAAGTAATGAATCTATGCACTTATTTATAAAATTCCACAGGCTTGACAAGCATATGTTCAATGCAAATATATGTACAAGCAGCCCACTGAGATCAATGCTAACCATTTATGCTAATCTGAATATTTCCTTTGTAACAGGGCAGCACTAGGTTATCCTCTATCAGGGATAAGCCTGGCTGGGTGGACTTCATCACCAGGCTGACCACCACCTGTCTCTTTTGAAGAGGTCAGAGCACATGTTTAGCACTTTCCAGAGAATCACTCTTCTGCTGGTCTAACGTTACAGTGAGACACAGGGGAACTTAATAGCACTGAAGTGTGATGAACCATAGCTTCTAAAAAAACCCTGCCTTCAGGAGAAATGGATTTGTGGTAAAAGGATTACTGTGCAAAATCAAGTGGGATGATCTTGCGAACAAGGATGTGTAATAACTCAAAGCACTCAGCAAAGGCCAGCACACTGTGCTCTAATGAGCAAGGTAGCAGCTTCGTTGGGCTATGGATGGATGTCTACTCATTAAGAGGTCCTTGTGAGGCTTGTTGGACAGTGGGGGTCTGTGGGGGCGGGGGTGGCAGTGCAAGTCCATCCTGAGGTCTGCCTGTGGGTGGTGCAACACTGTCAACCCCTGAGCAGCTCATCCATTCAAAGCCCTCTGCTGCTTCAGTGCAGAGGTGAGCCCTACTGCTGGGCTTTATGAATAACAGCTGTGCCCAGCCCACGGCCAGGGGTCAGAGAAAACACAGTTGGCTCATTTGGAGAAAAGGACAGTAGGGTCCCTCTTCCTCCCCCCACCCCCAACAAAACAATAAGATAGCCAATTTTATGTAGCTGCTTGCTCCTAACACACACAGCTTTCTACAATCACAGTGTATACAGTGATGCAGTAAAGCACAGGATACACAGAAAATGTTACACAATGAATAATTTGATAGAGCTTGAAATATTTGTCTGAACCTTTTAGGAAACAACTGTCCATGTTGGGCATAATTTCTCAAATATCTGTTAAACTTGGATTACGTATCTCTCATAGTCCATTTCCTACGTTTTACTGATGTTACTCTGCATTTACCTGTGTTAGTTTTATCCCCTAATTAAGTAAATTAGGGGAATTCCACAACTTTTTCAAAATTTCTGTATAATTCAATGCTTGAAATGTAAATGAAGTCATTCAGAACGCTTTATTGTGAAATGGTGAATTGTAGAGACACTTACCAGCTCAGATATACTTCGTAGTGAAAGGGACAAGGGGTTGTGATGTCTACACCGCAAATATAGTAATTTTATTTATTATCCAAAATGACCAATAAACCTACTCATGTCTTCTGAGTTTGGTATGTAATGTTGATGACAATAAAACAGTGGTGAATCCGAGAAAATATGTTTTCTCCGGCGACTATTTTGGCTCATAATGTCCTGCATGTACCTTTCCATCATAAATGGATTTTTGAAAATGTGTTTTAAGCCGAATTTTAACTCAAAACAATTGTAAAATAATGTCTTGGATGCCAGGCAACATATAGTAAATACATTGTGTAATAACTTTCTGTGATGTAGCTTTTTAGAAGTATTAAACACTTCAGATGTCTGGTTTCTATCCTCACCACTGTGAACAATCTGGACTCTAGCATAGAACATTTCACTTCAAACCATTTTGAATGACTTAGTTCACATCTTAAATATGTTAAATATTAGTTCACATCTTAAGTATGTTTGAGAAATTGGTGGAAGTACCCTTTAAAGGCAGTCAAGCTTGCCAAAACCAGGACCGGTACCTGAGGGACAGTAAGCATATGTTGTCTTCTAAGGTTAATTAAATTTAAAGCTATTCATCTGTGCATTGCTATTCTATTTGTATAGCTACTGATAGGGCTTCCTCTCTCTCTCTCATACACACACACACACACACACACACACACACACACACACACACACACAAACACACACCTTGCTGCTGACAAACATCGGCAACTAATAAATCCCTCTGAGGAGGGCTGAACTCTTCAAACAGTGCAGCAACTATAGTATACAAAAAGAAATTTGCTGCACTGATGAGATGTGGCCACAACGAGGGGCTTTTCTGGGACAGCCTTCAAAGAGAAGTAAATAGGACAGACCTTGCTGCCATACAACAAAGAAAGTCTTGACTTTATACACATAGCCCTGCCAGAGCAAATGAGTGGCAGAAGACCATAGACATAGTGGACATACTGTTGACAGGAGGGAACATCAACCAGAATTTGATTGAAAGCTGGTGTGATGGCTATGGAAGGTAGATCATGCCAAAATTAGTCAGTCACAAACAACAGATCTGATGCGAGAGACACTTACTAGGATTGTAGTGACTACGTACGTCCTGTTCTGCAAGCCGAATGTTTCATCAAGTATGTGGGTGTACGTCGCTGTGCTCACATACTTTTCGTTTTCATTCCAGTAACCCACCTGTGCACAGAAGAGAAGAATATCATGGCAGAGAGAATGCAAGAACTTTTGGCGCAGCTATTTTTAGGGTGATAAATATTCATATTGGAGGCTTAAGAAGAAGCGCAATCACTTGAAATGCATGCACACCCCTTTCACCCCTCCAGTGACTAACACTTCACTCTCACTGCTCTCCTCTGAGATAACACTGAGGCGCTACCTACAGCTAATCACGCGAGCTGGCAGACGCTGAAACGACAGCTGAACGGAAATACATAGATGTCCTGCACAGCCAAAGATATGTGTGCAATTGTGAGCATACAATTGAAAGAATCGTAAATACTGTATGTGGTGTAAGCAGGATTTGAAGGGGGATGTGAGGGGATATCAGTCCCCCATTAAATACAAAAAAAAATTACATCATCTCCCTAGTAAAACTGACATCCATCTTTTCATCCACTTTGGATTAATGATGCTATGTGACATCACTTTAGATGCCCATTATATATGTTTTAATTCCATTCATGTTTGAGATTTACAGGCCAAGTTGCATTGGATGCATTCTGTGAACCTTCATTCCCACCCAGTTGATTAAACCCTCCAGCCCCCTATTGGGATGTGGGCTTTTGGATGTAACATCATGGTTAGTAACAGGCAGAGAGAAGCTGCTGCATTTGTGTGATTTACCTTCTTTGGTCCACTTGGGCTGAGCTCCATTACATTGACAGTAAAGTTGGTCCGATGTCCTTTTTCATTGAACTGCACATGGCCTGTTAGACCTTCAAATTGCACCTGGAGAAAGAACAAGGAAGGGTGAGAGAGAGAGAGAGAGAGAGAGAGAGAGAGAGAGGGAGAGAGGGAGAGAGAGAGATAATACATTGACAGTCAAAAATACTTCATTGCTGTCATAACAAAACCTGAGGCTGGGTTCACAAAACTGTCTTAAGAAAGAAAATTTTCATAAATGGTTTTTAATGTCATACTTAAGAAAAAAGTTAAGATAAATTGTTATTCTTCCAAAAACATCTTAAGAATTGTCTTTATTTTAAATTACTAAAACATTTCTCTCAATAATAATTCTGGGAACAAGTGATAACTTACACTTTTTACCTCAGACTGTAAAGTTGACAAGACAAGCATCTAAAACTGCAACCTCTCAGCTTATCATATTTTCTAAGGAGGATTTTTCATATCTATTTCCTCCATCATCAATTCTAGTTATTGCTTGCTAAAAATTGCATTTAACTACTTTCTTAAGAACTTCTTAATGTTTGTCTAAAGATCCTTTCTAAGTTTTTCTTAAGGAGGCTATTGTATATCTGGCACCTTATGTCAGTAACTTTATAGACAAAAGAAAAAAATTATGAACTTTATGAACTTAATGAGCATTAATATAAAGAGATTTTATTCCACACTATTTATTTTGGACCATTCCTTCTTGTCCATTCATCATGAAAAGTTTACCAGCATAAAGGGAAACTGGTGTTATCAAATGGTATTAAATAAATACATGTAAAACTTAACTTAAGTTTTCGATATGACATCAAATTGCTAAAGCATCATTCTCTTGTAATAACTGCTGACACACAACAAAATATAAATGCAAACATCTAAGAATAGATGACTCAGAAATATTTGAGCGACTGAGTCACAACTGTCCAACTGAGGGCAAGTGGCACTGAAGGTTTTCATTCTAACCAAGCAGCTGCAAGAATCCCTAATCCCACTTAATTAATTCTGAGTTTTCAAACAATTGTGAGTTGTGTGCTCTTGCTTGGCTGGAAGAAGAAAAACCTGCAGTCACACTGGCTCTTTGGCTGGACAAAGAGCGCATCCTTCCTATGCAGCCCCTACAGACATATGACCTTTAAAGACATGCTATCAAACTATTAAAGGGAATGGCCTTGTTTTTGTGGTTATCCTCCTTTTAGTGAATGGGAATGGTAAATTCTTTAAACACATAAAAAACAGTTGCTGAACATTAACATAGAAGTGTCACTTTTGATCAGAGCACGTAAAAATCTGAGTGGCGTGTCTTTGCCCGGATCAAGGAGCCCGGAGACGGGGGGGCTCCTAGCCCCCTAGCCATCTCAGGCACTAGGGAGCTGGGTGTCAGCCTTTCGTTGCCCTTCAGGTCATTTGCTTTTCATCACGGGAAAATTAAGAGAACATACACGCCAACAATTCAGTAAAATGCCGAACTGTGTTTTAACGTAATTGATCTTATTTGCGAGTAATTATGCTATGTTATACTTTGCTACTCAAAAATAAAGAAAGCTAAATAGGCTAGGCTGATGTTTGAAACAAAAACAGTTAAAATATGTATCTCTGACAAACTAACATGGCACATCATTCAAAGAGGATGAAAAACACCAGTAAAAGACCATAAGTCTCCATCAGCATCTGGGGTTGTACCAGTATTTTAGCTTATTAGCCCATCTGAGGCAGTTGCCATTACGTTACTCATCCGACATGAAAGCCTACCAATTTCCTTCAGCTACTTTTGACCAATAAAACAGCTTCTTCTGAGTAATGCTAAACTCCAGTGCGGTCTATTTCTTTTTTTGCCAGTGTTTTTGTTTTATTGTTCGTTTGAACAAATACTGATGAAACGGGCAATCGTTTCAAACCTATAGCTACTGGAAAATACCTGTATAGCACAGAATGTTTAACCAATTTCTCATTACACAATTCATGAAGTGAAGTTGATTTCATGCCCAGTACCTAAAATAAACATAATAAGAATAAATCATATGGAGCGGGTTTTCTCAAAGGTACGAGTAGGAAGCAAGCGAGGAACAGGAAACGGAAAACCCAGAGGGGAGTTAGAGTGAAGATAACACAGAACGTTTTAAAGCGAGGAACAGAAATTTCTGTCACTCCACTCCACTCACACATTCTGTCATAGATTACATTACCAGTCAGGTAATCTAGCAATTATTTTGATGATTAATCATGTAATCTGGATTTAACTGAACAATAAAGAACCATGCATAGCTTTTCAAAGTGCAAAGATTTTTAAGAATCTAGGAAGTCGGGCTGAAAGATTAATTATTTTAATCAAGTTAATCGAGTGCCAGGAGCTGCAATTTTATTTATAGCCTACATTACCATCAACATTGGCTTAAGTTTTAGAAGCAGGTGCTGTGACACAGTCACACTAACTGGCGGTCAGGTATACCACATTTACATTTATGGCATTTGGCAATTGTTCTTATCCAGAGCGACTTACAATTTGATCTTTTACACAGGTAGGTGAAGGAAGTGTTTGGAGTCTTGCATAAGGACTCTTATTGGTAAAGTGTAGAGTGCTTGCCCGAAGTGGGGGGGGTGCACTGAAACCCAGTCTACAGCATAGAAGGCAGAGGTGTTACCCACTACACTATACCAACCTCTTTGTTCGGTGTTCAAGCTTCAAGCCAGAAAAAGGGATTATGCTCCTCTTCTTGGCTAAAATAACAGCCCTGGACTTCAATTTATTGAAAATTTTTGCTATTTATAGTAACAATATTGGTCAGAAAAATTGCAATTAGATATTTTCTTCAAATTGTTCAGCCCTATTAGGAAGTCATTGAACAGATATTATATGGCAATATGAACAAATCAGTGCATCCATGAGAATGTTTTTGCATTCTCCTGTGCAGTTACTACTTTAAGACACGTTTTTCTTGAGACAGCGACAGTATGTATTATCAACAAGAAAATGAATCTAATCACAGTCAATTTATGAAAAAGGTCAGTTTTAACTGAATTTTTTTTCACTGAATAATGGACATAAATCGAGCAATCACGACAGCCCTACAACAGTGCATTCTTATAAGTGCATCGGAGCAATTCTTTCTGACTGCCATTGTATAAATGTAAGCCACCACAGTTCAACCCCCTTTAAAAGCTCTTTCTCTCATGCTTCACCTGATCATCAGAGAACGGATTAGAAATCATTGCAGCGCAGTCAGCAGTGTATTCATGCATGTGAGTTACCTGCTGAAGTGCTCTCTGGATGTCAATGCCTTGGCCCCATGGCGCCGGAGGATTGGCCAGGCACTCGCCTGCGTTCCCCCGCCGAGAGATGTCGATGCGCTGCTTCCTGAGGTTCTGGAAGGCAGTGGCCATAACGCTCACACCGTCATAGGTGAGCGCTCCAGTGTACTGAGTAAACCCCACAGAGACACCAGTGAGTGTTACAGCAACAGAAGAGGACAAACAAGAGATTCTCAAACGCAAATCTGGCACAGTTCAGTGTTTTTCCTCCTCCAACTATTTTTATTCGAATGATGATTAACTGATGAGTTGAAACAGGTTTGTTGAAGCAGGGAAAACATTGAATCTGTTCCATCAGAATTGAGGATGCAACATTTTGACAGCAAGTTTGTTATTTCCCTTTAAAAGACTCAGAAAACCCTAAGTCCTTTTAAGAGCACTCAGTTCCACATGCATTAACTTTAAACCCTAGAATTATTACTCTATTATTAATTAAAAGTCTATTATTCATAACTTCAATGAATTATTCTGTAAATACCATATAGCTACCATATCGTTCTGGGAGTGAGGAAAGGAAGTTTGGACTCGCCAATAGATCCTTAGAGTGGAATAGTAGAATAAAACTGTATTAAATCACACTATCAGCACGGGTTTTCCACTGAAAACCACCAAAATGTTGCATATGCAGGAATTTAGGGGGAATTCAGCAGTGTATGTGAATCCAGGCCCATGTCTGTTAGTGCTATACTATAAAAATTATTTTATTAAAAATAAATCTTTTCGATAATGCCACAGAAGGATGACTTTTGGTTGTCTGAAGAAGTGGTTTTCTAACTATAGGTCGCATTGTGGGAACGAGTGGGTCGTGAGAGACCTGCCCTGATGAGTATATAGTTTTCCCCTCGAGAGAAGAGCTAAAACCAATTGGATAGACTGAAGAAACTAGTACTTATTGCACTTCTTTTCGGAGGAGAAAGATGAGGAGGAAAAGTCCAGCAGGATTCGTTTTATTCAGCCCACCTGAACATTAGCAATTTTCACAAGCCCAAGGAATCTGTGTGGCTACAACGGCATTTTGAGTGGAAACAAGCTCTGCTGTCTGAATGCAGCCAGAAGCGCAAACAACTCTGCTGTGTGGACTTGCAAGTGGTGAGTTGCAAGACAAACACCACCTCTACATGTGGGTCCTGGCATGAAAATGTTTGAGACCCCTTACTGTAAAGAACTTTTCAATGGATAGTTCTTTGAAGAATCATTTTTAGAAATAAGATGTGTGAGTGTAAAGAGTCATTCAAAGTTAAACAACGTCCACATAATGTAAAGGTATTTATACGGCTTAAAGATTTTCCTACCGCTTAAAGATTTTTCCTAAAACTGTACATCCAAGCCATGGACCATTTAGAAACCTTTATTTTTAAGAGCGTAATTGCAAATCTTCTCCTGAAACAGTAGCCACTGATAATGTGTTTTACCTTAAGCCTCCTCTTAGGACTTTTCAGGTCTTTACTGTCAAACTCCAGCCACTCTTGTATGGTCCTGCTGACCATGGGCTCCGTGTAGTTCATTAGCTGGAAGCCTGTCACATTAGCCCCGCCCTTCCTGAACTCCGTGAAGTTTAGGTCCATGAAGCCCTGAGAGCAAAAACGATCAAGGCCTCAGCAAAAGAGCCAGAGCAAATCCAACTTCAGAACCTTTTAGATTAATGTGTTAAAACTATAGCAGTGTTTAAAATACACTCACTGGCTACCTTATAACTCTGCTTTGCTGGTATACAGTTAGAGACTGTAGCCTTTTGTTGAGGCATGATCTGTGTTGGTTATTCTCTAACCCTTCATCAGTGGTCAGTTTCAGTGAACCATGCAGGGGTAGAAAGAGTACTGAAAATTCCTACTTAAGTAAGAGTACTGTTACTGTAGTGACTTAAAAGTATCAGTGAAGGTCTTACTCAAGTAAGAGTAAATAAGCTGTTTATTGAAAAAATACTAAAACATTTACATTGAGTTTACTTCTGTGTATATTCACAATCACAGTTTGAAATTATTTCTGAGCTGTTTTAGCTATGTCACTGAAAATAACATAAAAGCAAAATATGATATTACAAGGAAAAAAAATAATAAAAATGAGTTTTGAGTCTTGAGACTCACATCACATTGTGTTCTGCTTGTGTACATTATTAACATTTTATCTTTCTTTGTACTGCATAAGGCATTAAATTACATGCATTTCATGGTTAGATGTTTACATTGTAAGCTATGCATAGTTTGTTACTGTTTTATTATTATTTTTTGTTAGACCTTTTGAAAATCAGATTACTTAATAATAGACTACCCAATTAATAATGTAATAGTAGTGCCCTACAGCCAATTAATTCACTTGAATGTTAGCACACATTAGCTAAATTAAGTAGGTAATAGGCACTAAAACATATACCCAACAGCATTTATGTGCAATCAATACTTATCATCCTTGTTATTATAAAACAACAAATCAAGAAGCAGATAGTAAAAGAACAAAGTATCTGTTTAGCTAAGATTAGTTAGCCAGCCAGCTAATTTCTTGTATGCTTCCTCAGGGTGGAAGCCAAGTTGTGAAAAGTGAAGATTTTGACAGGTTTCAGGAGGCATTAAAGCTCGAAATAAAGTCATTTTCTTTAGTTCAATTAAAAAAATGGCAAATTGGGCAAAGTTATGTTTCTCATGCGTGCTGGTAACATTACCCTCTGACTACCTCTGCTAAACTTCACGTCTCTGAGCACATACAGCTCTGAACTGTAGCATTTTTGGAGCTGGCTTACTGCTGTGCTTTGCTTGGCTTTCAGAACTGAATCTTTTAAATGTAACTGGGCGCTCTTCCAACTGTTTTACACGCTGAAAAGAACATTTGTTTTTCACTCTTTAACAGTTATTAAACCTTAAAGTAGTGAACTAAAAGTATTTTATTATAAATGAACTCAAGTACAATTTAAGTACTATGATAACTACTGTTAAAGAGAAAATGTACTCCGCCATCCAAATAATGAATGATATTATTTGGATGGTGGGAATGATCCACCATCCAAATAATATCTGGTCAACAGTGGTCCTGTGGTCAGAAACTGGTCACATGAATAAGGCAGAGAATGGCTGACAAACAGCACAGAACAACAGATGAGCTACTCTCTGTAATCACAGACCTATAACGTAGGTGAGTGTGTGCAAGAACAAGGTACTGTAGATGTTTCCAGTAAAGTGGACGATGAGTATCCCACTTAAAATTCAATAAGTATGCGCAATAATCCTTCAAAGTTAAGCCCTTAACATGTTTTAGAGGAAAAAAAACAGGTTTACACAAAATGCAGTCTGTTCTAAAAGTGCAGCAGTGGTAGACTAATCCTGCTGAGGAGTTAATTATAAGGTGCGTTAGACTTTCACAAAACGTGCAGTGGAGAGAGAAAACACACATGAGCCTTCAGTGGCTCAGACAAGCTCAAACACATACAGCACTATCTCTTAGCTCAGAGCTTCCATGACAGAGCTTTTCTATGCAGCGAGATCCATCTAGCTTAAGGATGAAATGAATAGGCTGGAAGTAGACTCAGGCACTGAGACAACAGAGATTATGAAATGATAATAGCTGATCAATAAGGGTCTGCATGAATTACATAATGCGATACAGGTGTGTAATTCAACACTTCAGAGATCAGAACATTTACAACTAATAATACAGTGTTTTCCATACAGATTACAAATGCTATGAAAGTATCAGTCATCATGTGATAACAGCTCATTGTGTAAGAGTGCATGGTACTCTTCAGGCAACCGGTTCAGACTGAAATGAACCCCATGGGTCTCTCTCACACACAAAGTGTTGCATCCTTGCAGGCCTTTATTATCATCATTATTTATGGGCTGACATCTTTTTTCATCATTGCTGAATCCAATTAGGCACTCAGCTAGAAAGTGTTTGGTGTGGAACTGCTGTTTGGGGGGGAGTCTTTTTCCCTTCTCACAGAGCACTATTATGAATTTCACAATGTGTATTGTGAATTCTCAGTTCATTGGGACTCCATGACTGTCCACATAGGACATTTGGACAGCTATTATCCTAGTATTGTTCATATGTGAGTACTACTTTTTTGTTTTCTGACATATTTTCCTTCTTTAAGCTGGCAAGCTGAACATCTATAGAACATCCATAGCTTCTGGGTGAGTCCTGGGTCTGAGCCATTTTTCTCTATGAAAAAAATGAATGGTTTTTTCAAAAATTACCAAGTGCTTTGGTTAACCAAGTTCCAGACCCGAGTCATTTTGTCTGTGTCCATTTCTCCTCTGAATATCACTATATCATTTAAATTACAAGGGCATTACATAGTCAAAATAGGTATATTGTTATAAGCAACATAACGCTGCTGTCGGAAGAAAACCTCATGTCACCAAAATGATAACTTGAAACATACTTTACAGTCAATGGAACCAGAGTTTTGCCATTTTGGGTCATTTCGGTCTATTCATCATGACATGTACATACAATGTAAAGAGCAACAGGTATTTTTAAATTATCTAAAAAACTGAAAAACGACAAAAATGGAGATACAAGGTTTTCTTCCGACAACAGCCATATGCTACGTTCAACCTTGCTTTACATTACACCCAGTAGTTAAGTGACTCTGGCAGCAATAGCATACAGGTTGAGCAGTTAATGTTATGCTAAAGTACAGCAGTTGTCTTACATTTACAATTAAGTGTGCAAAATCTACCTTGCCGGTAGCATGTAGGTCCGTATTTTGACTTCTTAATGACCTCTCAATTCAGAGGATCCAGTGATGTTCAGGGGAAAAACATACATAGGACAGCACATACTAGCTCTGGAACATTTTTAACATTTACCATTTAACACAGAGGAGAGGAGACTTAGAGGAGACTCCCAAAAACACTGCAGAGAAAAACAAGTGGTCTTTATTTTGGCATGTTGCTGACTACAAAATGACACATAATCTCAGATGTCTATTTAGGGCTAGCACTGTCTATTTTGGGTCAGTATTTACATTTGAACAGCATAGGTTGCAGAGGAAATCACCAATGACAGTCTACAGAAATCTGCCTATAAGTGTCAGTGTTCAGATATTATCAGGGTCTGACAAAGACACAGCTGCTGAATATTGTAGAATAAAGATTTTTTTTCAAGTTAAATGATCATCATGTCCATTTAAGATGTGTTTTGCCAGATTAAGTTTTATTTCGACAGAAGAAAATGGGTTACACAACACACTTCTTTTCATATCAAACTAACAGAAATTTATTTTGTGAAATGTGTAAGGCTAATAGATCCTGCACACCAAATTATCAGGCTCCAATGCCACTAAAATGCATGAAATAGTGAAGCTAGGCCTGGGCAATATGGTTAAAAATGTTATCACGATTCAAAAATTTATATCAGTCCATATCGATAATTATCACAATAAATGTCAAAATAGTTATTTCTTTCAAGTTTAAAGGCAGATTTTTGCTCCTGGGTGGTTAATTGTTGTTTTAAACTATCCTTTATGGTCAGAACATGACAAACACTTGCCAAACAGCAGAACATTTCACAAATCTGTCATGGGATATGGGAGAAAGTTAGTTTTCACCAGCTGGAAAAGCACGGCCACAATTTTTATATTCATATATTAATATTCATATTTTTAAAAGAAAAACAGATTGTTTTTAGCTGTTTGGTGACGAGTGTTAGGCTAACGTTATCTGGTTACAAGTGCTAAACAGTTAAGTTTCTAAATAACATCAGCTTAATACGAACAGCAAACATTAGCTGGCTCGGTATGTCAATGATGGATCACAGTATTCAAACACAAGCTAGCAGACACTTGGATTTCTCTATGCTATTGTAGTAGTTAGATGGGTGAAAAGAACCACACTATATTTGATGCTTGCTGTGTAAAAGCTTTAACTGCAGTATGATTTTCTCGCACTAGACAAACAATGTTTCCCTTTTAGGTATGTACTTGCTGTGCAAGTGACAGAACACTGCTTCAAGTTAGCCAGCTGCTAAAAACAGCTAGCCTGGGAAGCTAGCGTTCTCCCACTGTCCAGTGTCACACATACAGGATCTTCAGTTTGCTTTCGTTTAAATCAGGGCTGTAACTTGCATGAACCAACTTCTTTGTTTCACTTTTGCTGCCTGGGAATGCACTAATACTAAAATATGCAAAGTAGTGTCGTTATCCTCGCAGTAGACAATGACACCAGGGCTGTTCCTAGAACGCGGACGTGTGAGAATGGTCTTTTATATTGAGCACTTATCAAACATTTCCTATATTTCTATCAAGGAAAGTTATATCATAAGAATTATTATTATCGTTTTATCGCCCAGCCCTAAGTGAAGCTATGCTGCACGTTACAAAAAACACTCAAAAGTGCACGAGTTTTGTGTAATTTGGCCTTTTTTTTAAAAATTCAACCACTCACCAGTCAATTTTCCATTAGGAACGCATTTACACTTTATTTTACAGCAAAACTCTATGCAATCTAAGTGTTACAGCAGAAATAAAATTGCTGAAATTGTTCATTTGAACACAATTACATATGGAAAAAGACTTGTTAAGTAAAATAGCAGGGGATACATGCTCCATGGTTCTCTATCTCATTTATATAATGAGTTGACTGCTCTATTGGAGCAATTATGGTACTTTTCTGTGGCATGTAATTTCTGACCTCCCAGCCTCACAGGCTTCCAAGATGGAAGCAGAGGTGTCATATTGGGCGAAATACCGGCTCGGCTCCACTTAATTCATCCAGTGAGACCTGAACCTTTTACATGTAAAAGGTCTAACCTTTTAGTGTTTAATTACACTGTGGAATATATCAACAGATTCAGAGAATGGACCTGATCTTACTGACCATGTATAAGTGCAGCACTAAGACATGTGGGTATTTTTATTACCATAAATGAAGTGCTTTTTGTTAATTTAATGCTTTGTGCAATGTAGAGTGCACAACTTTTCTACTTTTGTGAAGGAGTCTGTCTAAAAATTGTTGCATTGTGTGCTAGACGCAAACAAAATTCACACTGGAAATACACCCCAGTTGTAATGCATCACTAAATAATGCCATTAGCTGAAGTACGACAGCACATGGCAGTAAGTGGATATGATTACAGTTATGATAGTTCATGCTATTGCTCAACGACCTAATGAATTGGAGGCTTATATGTATTGAATACTAACTAGCTCCTTCCTTACTTGATGAGCATAAGAAGTGCATATGCAGAGTGTAAACCCCATGACACTCAAACGTCAAGATACAGAGCATTTCCAGTGTATTAAGTGCCTTGCACACACTCTATTTTGACTATTATTTTCTTGGGAGCTGCCTATCTCCACTTAATTTGCTCTAATTTAATAGAGTTAACAGACTAAACCAATATTGTGAGAAGCAGGATTCAAAGGTAAAGAAAGATGGTGCACCTGTCTCTTTAGTAAAATACTACTGGCATTCCCTTTCTGAGTTCAACTATTGCACTTTGTGAGGCTATTTAAAAATACCAGACAAGTAATCTGGTTGGCTAATAAAAGGAACAGCATTTTTCAACCTAATCTCTAGTTGCCGCAGCGTTCCACAGTCAAATAGCCCAGACCAGGGGTCGGCAACCCAAATGTTAAAAAGAGCATTTTGCCCTTTCAACAAAAATCAAACCACCTTGGGAGCCACAACATTTTATGTCCATTTTACCATCTTGGCTGTAAATATGTGTCAGTATGTGCTAATGTAATAGTATAGGCTAAAAAATCTAAACGAAAGCGCAGACTTACTTTGGTCTGCTTTAAGCTTTATCTCAGTTTTAGCCGCTTTTCTCGCATCTCTGGCAGGATACTTTCCCTCAAAAGTAGAATAGTTTTTTGTAACATGTCTCCCAGCGTTTGACTTTTTTATGAGGCTGTAGTCAGCTTCTCATTCACCAGCTTCTTGCTTGAATTTTCCACGTTCTACCTTAAATGGTGCCTGAGGCACCAGAATGTAACTGCTGTACCATTTAAGGTGGAATGGGAAATTTTTAACAAGAAGCTGGCAAACGAGAAGCTGGCAATGAGAATCTGACTTCAGCTTTGTGACTTTTTAGTGTCTGACAGTTTCTAGCTGCAGATTATACATATCAGGAAACCAGCTGGAGTGATTATAAATGCAAATAAGTCAATTTGTCTGAAAATTATCAATGTTTGTCTTAAATCTTTCTCTTTGCCATTTCATTAGCTACTGGCTAGGCGAGATTGTTATCTGCGTTGCTATGGTGACCTGCAGCCTGGGCTCCAGTCTTCAGGGTTAAAGGGTGAATTAGCAGTTATACATTAACTCCAGCATTTAAGACCGTTTATGGTTAAAACTGTGTTACAATGATCAGCAGAGCTTTATTTTACTGCAAAGAACGATTATTTCTTTCTTTCTTTTACCTAAAAATCTAATTCGGCTGTGGATCAGCAACAGGGCAGTAAAAGAGACGCATGTTGCCGATCCCTGGCCCGGACAATAATTTCAACGTGTTTCCCTTTACTTAAAAAGAACAAAAAATCCATTGACACCAAACAAGCTAAGCAGTTGCTAACCTCTTATCAGTAAACGTTTATGTGAAGCATGTGTTTTCTGCTTTAAAAGCTATAACTGAAATTCTGTATCAGATTACTTTTCCAGAAGCAAAAATATCCAGTGATTCATGAGTAATATAGTGATGGGGCTAAAAGACTGGACGGGGTGAGGAGGGAACACGGAGAAGTATTTGCAATTTTTTTGACCAATATGTGATCAATTTTGTGACGACTTTGTATGAATTAAGGTCCAGTGCCCACTTGCATAAACCATCTTGAATATTGATTAAAGGATCAATTTAAAGCTGTAAATGTGAGTTTTGTAAATGTCAAACTCAATTTCTCATTGTGGATTTATTTTTCCTTTTCCACTTAAGTTACTTCGCTGAAGTGGTGCACATGCAAGTGACCACAGGTATGTTCCTTTGTCCAAGAACACCGGCATATCCATTTTCTCTTGTTTAAGGCTTAAACAATAAAAACTGTCAGTTTGATACAGATGCAAAAGCGAGATTAGGTTAAAAAATGCTGGTATATTTCTTTAATCACCAAACCAATGTGTCTATTCCACTTCCCCCAACACTTTCACACATGCATGCATGATTGTGCCGGCATGAAAGTAGCAGGCATCTTTCTACCCTCATCACTTTACATCGAGTAGTGGCACCAGATAACTTCTATTTCAGCAGATTTGAGGGTTACACGATTTCTTATCATACCTAGTGATACTACTCAAAGCTTGCTGTGTTGTCAACGATACTGCAGTAAGGAGCAATGCACTTCAGCTGATTTAATTCCTGCAGGGCTAATACTACAGAGGTCTTACTGTGGCTCCTGCAGCCACCATCACGGTGTGTGTTATATGAGTTTTATCAGCTGTGCAAATAAACAGTGACTGGGAACAATGAGTGATGGAATTTGACTCCTTATCCTGCACATTTCAGTGCTGCAGTGGTTATATAAACTTTACATAAAGCTGTGTGATAGAACTGCATCATTCAGGCAACACAGAGGGAAAGAAACACAGATGCTGGAAGCCTTAAAACAACAAGTCTTCCCAGACCACCACTCCTACACCCTCCTACACACACATATACACACACACACACACCAACTCTCCCCCAGCTGCAGAAGAAAAGACGTCTGATGTTGATGCCTTCCAGGAGAAGCAAGGATAATAATTCCTGGCTCAGCAGGTAATCCGCAATCTGTCTCCATTGTGTTCTGCATTTAAAAGCACAGCCGCTCTGGTCACTCAAAAATGAGGCAGAGTAAGAACATGAAAATTGTAGTACACCATGATCAATTTGCCTGAACATTTACCTTACCGTCAGAGCTGATGTGCTAAAGATATCTTGACAGGTTGTGTCCTAAAGCTAAGAGAGTTCAGTGTCTTGGACCAGCAGAGGTTGATGAGGCACACTGAACATGTAATGCAGTGAATAATGTGACAGTATGGTGAATTATTAACATCATTAATATTATTTAATACTGTTAACACATTTCTTGATTTAACCCTTCAAACTGTCTGTAGTTCCAGCCTGAAGATCAGCTGCTCATGTGCTGTTGCTATGATTGACTCTTGATAATCTCTAGAGCAGCTCCTGATAAAACCAAAGGTATTGCCAGCTACTGCAATGCTGTGGATTTATCACTGAAGTACTCTGAGTCTGAAATATCAACACACCACTGATGCTGGCGATATCAGTAATATCAGTAACATTAGCTTTCGGAAGACTACACTGGACAGTGCTGGCACAAGAACTACACATAAATCAACAAGTAGTCAAAAAACAAAAGCAACAGCAAAGGGCAAACTCTACATTTCCCCTCAAATCAAGACTTAATGGTATGAGAGCTGCTATAAACACAGAAGAGATGGAACATGCAGCCACTGTTGCTCTCACTGGACATCAGTGATGAAAACTGGAAACCTCCATTCACCTCCATGTTCACCCTGTGTACATGTGATTTTAGGTTTATGTTCATGTAGAATACTGAAAGTAATAAATATATTCTGATGAAGCTTATTTCGTCCACTCCTATTGTCTCCTCAGAGTCAAATTTGAGCAAATAAGACAAATGTGATTAATCTTGATTAACCACAAAAATAATGTGATCAATTGCAATGAATTGTTTGAATCGTTTAACAGCTCTAAGTGAATTTACTTGATTCAAATGTGTACATTATTTTCACATGAATAAAATAAATCACACCAACACAACTGACCTATCCACCCATATATGCACTGGCAGAAATCTCACTAAACCTGAAGAGCTCAGTAGCACAGCATTTTAAAGTGAAAATTCAAGATGAACTTATCATTGTACCGAATTTAAACTTAAATTGATTACGCTGAACAAGATCTTGCCAACATTCTGTAAAGCTTGTCCAACCTTGCATTAGTTGCTATGAAAGAATGCATTTGTGGGCAGATAATGGACATCAATTATTGCCAAAAGTAAGCAAAAGACTGTGTAAAACTTGTGTTAAAGTACTATATTTTATGCAGGTGGAAATGATGTACAATTTAGATAAAGGAAAATTCAATATACCGTTTGAGTGACAAGACTTACTTACCAGGTTTGCCAGTATAAAGTGATAATTCTTTAAGTTCTTTCTTTGGGCTGCAATCTGAAAAGCAAAACACAATAACACATTTAAGCTCATCATCTGCATACAGCATATCTCCACATTTCTGTTGTTCATAATGTAACTTTCAGCATGCCCCCTCCCCACTTAGAAACTAATTGGTTCCATCTTTCAGGAGTTTAATTGCGCACCTTCCGTTCCTCCCTAGGTGTGGAATATCTGTGCTCAGCAGACTGTGGGGGGCAGCTGGAATCGCACAAGAAGGGCTAGGGGAGAAGATTTGGCATCTGTCTCCATGGGAAGCCCAATTATAAGCCTTAATGACTACATGTGCACCAGGCCTACACAGGCACCTGTGAGCTATAGCGATCCGCTAGAATCCTTGGAAAATACTAAAACCCTGTCTGTGATCCCTAACCAAATAAACTTAGCCTGGTCTCCAAGCATCAAAACCTGCCAAACTTGCTGAGAAAAAGGTCATAATGGTTTTATTACACTATTGCTCATGCTCAAAAATCTCATTCTCATAGGTTCCCCTATGGACCATGTTCTGCCAATAAGGTTTAGGAAGTAATTAATTCACTTCTGAGCACAAGCAGTGGTAATCAAACCAGCTTTAGCTGTAAATTTGGCAAGCACCATTACAAAATCACCTACAGAGTTTGCCCTAGGCATCTAGGAGTAGAACCAAATGACCTCTGCATAAGTTAATGTAACACAGATGATTCAATTGTGCTTTACTCATCAACTGTGAGCTTTTCAAGCTTTTGAAAAAACATGACGTCCCTGAAAAAAAGTAATCTGGACTTCTGATCAAGAATATTATGGATTAAATGCACATGCAAACAAAGAGAAAGTAAAAAAAAAAACGAGTTTTCTGCACTTTTTGCTATTGATTCCACTTTGGCTCCTGTCCACACAGCATAAGCATAGAGACCAGAGCTGAGTATAGGATCCCTACATATGTGATCAACACAGACAGAGCCTGATATAGGCTTCTGAATGTCAAATCTGTTTATTTGGCTGTGAACATTCAGTGCTTTCTGCTTTAAGATGATAAGTTCATCTCATGTTTTGGCATTTATAAATGCAGTAATAATTCTGGAATATCTTAAAGCCCCAATCAGTTTCTTAGAGATAAACTACATGTAAATTAATCAACACCAATGGAGTCAGTACCCAACGTATAAAGCCTTTGTGCCAGTTTCAGGTGCAAATTGGATGCAGACTGAAGGGGGGTTGTGCAAAATTTGGGAAGACTACGCAGACAATGGACAGGTATATCAGAAGTGTGGCTGATTATATTGTGGCGTCCACCATGGGCTGCTTTGCCATGAGGAGCTTAGCGGGTATGGCCATGCACAGTGGCTCTCGGAATGCTCCATGCTCCCGGCTGAAAAAGGACATTAGTTACAGCAGTTGTTGTAAATATTGAAGTAGCCATTGCGTCTTGAATTGTCTCAGAGGAGGGTGGGCTTTGTGTGTTCAAACATCGTGTCCTCCCGCATTACCCCCTCCCTGTGTTTCATGTTGGGGTAGCGCTGGGCTAGGCCCATATGCGCCATGTTGTCCAGTACTTCTTCTGCGCCAATGCTACAATATATTTCTTAATACACTAAATTTACTATAATTCTCAACTTACTAAACTTTGAGCTACTAACAGTGGCCAGTTTTGTGCTTAAGTTTCTCCACCCTTTAAAACTGGGCATACATTTGCATTTGTGTTTCACGTGAATACTGTTGGGTGGCTTCCTTTAAGAAAAAAAAAAGTTATGGAGGCTAGACGGACGCAACAGCCTCGAAGACTGAACTGAAAGAATATTGACCATCAACATAACACTATTTCAACTCTCAATATCAGATACACGTCCATGAGAAATCACAGTGCAAAATCATATCATATCGATTCACTCAAGAGATTGTATCTAGACAAACTTAAAACAGTGCAAAAATTTGTTTCCAAATAAATCCTCATTAGAGCTTTACATCTGGTTCATTCTAACAGCACAGAGATGTCTTCAGTCATGCCTAACAAAGTATATTTACATAAATCCAACCTCTAAAACTAACTGAAGCCTCCATAACTAGTATTTCAAATGCTTGATCCTAATGTTAACAATGATGGAAACAGATAGAACTAATTTGATTCAAATGGACAGAAAAGTGGTGTGCAAACATTTAAACACAGCAAATAAAACGACATTGGAAAGTTTCCAATATGTTAAATTCAGCAAACAAACAGTAATCAGTAATTTAAACATATTTCTATGCAATTTGACCAGAGGGGCCGAAACTTTTGTGTGAGTGTAAATCCAATAGTTGCTGATCTAGATGAAGTCTTTCACTTGTCTAGCTCACTATGACTTGTTATGGCTATCAGTCAATAAGGAGATGTGGGGACACTTACCAGGTTGAGGATGGAGTTAAGTCTCTCCAGCTCACAATCCAAAATGATCTTGTATTCTTTTTTATTGTCCAGGTCCTGGATAGCTTTCAGGAAGGCTGCTTCTGTTAGAGTGTCGAAGTTGATGGATGTGACCTGCCAGGTTTTTTCTGCAGCAGTGTCCAGGATCTTCTGAAGCACAGTCAGACCTACAGAAGAGAGGGTAACAGAGGCAACACTTAAACCACTGAAAATATTTATTCACATAAATGGGTGCTGGTAGTAGGAGTGTAAAAATGCATGATGCATCTGAAGGTGATGATTCAACTGTTGATTTTGGAATGATTACAATCACTTATAATTCATTACAATAATATTCAATGGAGCATGTACTCTTTTTTGGCCAAAATGAAATGCTCAATTTCAAAAACCTTTCAATTTAAAAAATAAAAAAAAAATGTACTGAGCATATTAGTCTTGTGGGGCCGGATGTGATCTCATAAAAATGTCTGGGTGCACATGAGAAACTCTGGGCTAAATGTGGGTGGGAATGTAGACTTATTAGAGTGGAAACAAACTGAAAGTGAAATTTCTAAACCAATCTAACACCACAAGCAGGAGGCGATGGTGCACTGATCAACATTTTCAGATGGACAACAAGCCTGTTGTTAGCCCATGAATGACTGAAAAGTCCCCCTCCACAGAAACCCCCAGTTTAGCAAGTACATGTGTGCTGTGTGTGCAGAAAACATGCATGCAGTAACATAACTGCATGCAGTAACATCATTTTACTCTTGCAAGGGAAAAATAGTTCCATTAGCTAACTATAACGTTTCGCTTGGCAGGTTTTTTGCTTGTGTTGTTGATTGTACTTTGGATGTTAAAAGAGCAAAGACTAGAGGAACTTCAGATTTTAGAGGGGGAGGAAGACCCCTGTTAGCAGTGAGTTTTGCTGCAGCCAAGCAACAAAACCAAAGTTGTCCCTAGACATATATTTTTGGTAAAAGATTATACCTGGCCCTAAGAGATCATCACTACTGTGTAAACTGTTGCCCAAATCACATCTGGCCATTCGGTGTATCAAAATAAATCAACTGCACCAAAATAATCGTAAATCGTGGTGAAATTTGAGATATGATACACTGATTAATTTTGTAACAGTCAGAATTTACATCCTTAATTACTATGGAAATAAATGTGGTTAGCTTGCTCTTGTGTAGGTCTCCATTAAGAAAAGTGTCCTTACTGGACTTGTGTATCCATTTTGAACTAGTCATGGAAACTCTGTATGTACTGTAGCACTAAAAGTCTGGGGATTTGGCTTAGCAGTTCTTTGGATTTCCTGAAAAACACACACTCCATTGTGCCAGAGAAATCTGTCAGAAAATGCTGTCCCTAAGAGCGGTAGGGGGTCTGAGCTTCTTCTCTCCAGCTATGGCAAACGTGCCTTTTCATATCAGCTCTCATGCTCTGAATGTTAACAGAGCCTATGCTGAACTTCAAATGCCTTTGCTCTGTTTAATTGAAGGAAAATGGAAATTCTGGCTCTTTCAGCAGGCAGAGGGGAAAGGCAGAAGCATGTTTGAAGTCACTTAATCTGGCCATATTATGCAGAGTCTGTAGTGATCACAGCAAGTCAAGCCTGTGAAGTGTGTGATTTTTTTTTCAGCAACCATCGTCTTTGCTGCTCTACATTTACCCCTCCACAGAGGGATACTGCTTAAAACTGAGGCCTAGTACAGCTAGTGAATTAGTGTCAGTCTTGGGGCAATAGTGCATCCTCTCATGAATCCAAACTATTTCCTGGTAATCTACATGCTTTCCCTGGGAAATAAAGTTCTTACAGTTATAAATGCACAACATATAGCATTTAAACTTAAAGCATCATTTCTGGGTGAGTAATATGATGACTTTATCATCATTGTGATAAATTATGTCACAATATACTTCTGTGGGTTTGTCATGGATTTCAGTACTTAAAAAACTCACTATCTGTATGTTTCATTCCAAAGAGAACATAATTATTTCTGTTTCACTGGAATTAGTCCTATACAGAATGAGTAACACTGAATAAAAATCATTGTACTCATGGTTTTTGAGAGCATTTTTACAGGTGGTGCTACTGGTACTTTTTCTGTTCCAACTCATCTAACTTCAGAAAACAAAGTACTGGGATATCTATAATGTGTTGTGATAAAATCTTCTAGCATGCCTTCACGATGATGTGTGTTCACATATCACCCACCCCCATCATTATTATAGCAAGGCCCAAATCACCCACCCCCATCATTATTATAGCAAGGCCCAAAGTTTTGATTTAACGAATCAGAGTTCCAGTCACATGTTTGGTTTTTGAGAGCATTTTTACAGGTGGTGCTACTGGTACTTTTTCTGTTCCAACTCATCTAACTTCAGAAAACAAAGTACTGGGATATCTATAATGTGTTGTGATAAAATCTTCTAGTATGCCTTCACGATGATGTGTGTTCACATATCACCCACCCCCATCATTATTATAGCAAGGCCCAAATCACCCACCCCCATCATTATTATAGCAAGGCCCAAAGTTTTGATTTAACGAATCAGAGTTCCAATCACATGTTTGGTTTTTGAGAGCATTTTTACAGGTGGTGCTACTGGTACTTTTTCTGTTCCAACTCATCTAACTTCAGAAAACAAAGTACTGGGATATCTATAATGTGTTGTGATAAAATCTTCTAGTATGCCTTCACGATGATGTGTGTTCACATATCACCCACCCCCATCATTATTATAGCAAGGCCCAAATCACCCACCCCCATCATTATTATAGCAAGGCCCAAAGTTTTGATTTAACGAATCAGAGTTCCAATCACATGTTTGGACATGCCTGACTAAATGTATGCTTTTCATGATGTAAAATTTGTGCAATACAGGACTGATATTTCTGAACAAGTACTTAAATATTTGCTTGAATAATCACCCTTAAAAACAATTAGATTTGAATATTTGAACACGACCTGTCTGACCTATCAAGTTTATTTCACTTGTGCACCAGTGAGGCGTAAACTTCACAGAGATCCAGTCAAATCACACCATCTTACTTTCTACAGTGTTCTGAACTATATTTAAAAAATACTGTATGATGTTAATATAATAACTTCATTGATGTGGTAGTTGCCGTGCAGCTCCTGTGCTGTATTAGTGGTGTGTGTAGGAAACTCTTCTCAGCACAGCAGTAAAAAGTTGTGTTTGTGATTTTATCACAACAAACAGATTTCCTATTCATGCTCTTAGCCTTCAAACCTGCAGTAAACCTTCTTAATTAGAAAAGAAAGGGACAAAAAAAGCTAATATTGAATTGGACTCATGGCAGAACTTCAATAAGAATCACAATACTTGCACAAATCAAACTTGACATGTCTCAATGGTATACCAGCACTAGGGCTGCAACAAACGACTAATTTGACAGTCGAATAATCGATCGATTACTGAAACGAATAATTGATTATTCGGATTATGAATCACTACATTGCCAAATAACTTTTAGGTAGCTATTAGCTTTTAGATTTAGCTTGAGGTTGTTTTATGCATTTGGTAATGAACAGTGAAGACAATAACGATGAATAATATTCAAGAATTCACTGTTTTAATGAACTTTCCTGCTAATACAAAAAATACAAAAATAAAACTCCAATATATTTTTCCTGTAAAAAGTTAAAACCAAGGATGTGCAAAGTAGCAGCAATAAAATATAACACAACTAAATCAGTTTTTCTTTAAATTTAAATGTTAAATTTAAACAGTGCAGTCTGTGATCTGTGCATTCTGTTGTCTGTCTACACTTTGCTGCAACTAATTCTACAGTCACAGGTCTTTACTGAAACGGAGGAAAGTCCGCATCTCTACGCTCTCTATCTCTGAGAGCAGATATTCTCCACTGCAGAGAAGACGCGCTCTGATCGAAAGTTTGTGGCAAACTTCTCTATGAACAGTTGAATTTGAACGATTCTGTGCAAACACTTTATTTCAACGGTAACCCTTTGTCCAGCTACCTAAACTGTTAGCGAGTGGAGCTAAACGTTCGCGGAGAACAGAGACCTGTTTGTAAACGCTCTCCTATGTTCGCCGAATCTGCGCGCACCGGCGGCCTCAGCGTTAAGACGACGATGCAGTGTTTAAAACCGTAAGCGTTATCTGGAAAGTAAACAGGGTCGCTGTGAATAATAGTTACTTGCTTCTCTGTTCCAACTCCATTAACGTTTCCAGAGAACCTGCATTTCGAAAGAGAAAATGTTACAGCTCAAAACATGAAGTAGGACGGCTTTTAACATTAACATCAGCTAACTAGCTCGCTAGCACAACTATTGCGTCCCAAACCACACACTTCTGTACTTCACACACTACACTAATGAGTGCACTTCTAATGGTATAAGCGCTATTTTTACACACACTATTTAGTGAGCTAGTACGCGGTTTGGGACACGGCGTATCTTACCGAGATGAATCTTCTTCACCCAATGAGGGAACGTGTTTCCTATTCAGATGCTCCAGCATGGAGGATGTGTTCTCATGCCAGCTAAGGTCGGCTTTACAAATAGCACAACTGACAACCTTTTTTTCTGAGTTTAGCTCCTGCACTTGTGAGGATTTTGTTCTTGAGGCTGCCATCGCGCTGCTGTTATCTCTCCAGTGAGCGGTAATGTCAAAACATTCCTAGTGAGCGCGAGAAAGACGCGTAATGACGTCACAAACTAATCGACTACTAAATTAGTTGCCAACTAATTTGGTCGTCGATTTTAGTCGACTAAGTCGAATAATCGTTGCACCCCTAACCAGCACTGTGCTTTTACTTATTGTGTATGAATTTTAAGTGCTTTTAACATACGTGATTTTCCTTAGGCATCTTTGCTCTTTTAGCTTTAATGGCCACACAAAAAGCATAGTTTGTTGTGCTCTAAGGAGAGGTGAAGTAGTTATCTGAAGTAACTTACAGTGAATTTATTACATTTTTTTTGTGGATGACGAAGACAAAGCCTTCAAATACTAAATAGAGAATCAAATACCACTGTAACAAAGGTGTACTTTTTAAGTACATTCAGATATAAACCCTTTCTTAAATGCTTATAATTTGGTTCTAAGACAAATATTTATGTCTATGTAAGAAGATTATGTAGAAAATCTGCAAGCCTGTTTGAAAAGCATCTCAGTAGCTCCACATGAAGCATCT